TGTGTGCAGCCCCTCTCCTAGCAAAGGAGAAGACAAAATGCCACAAAAGAAGACAAAGAGAAGGCCTGTTTTGTCTTTCACTACAACTGTTAGAGCGAACGCTTACCTAGTGGTGTCTGTGTGTGAGCTCCTGTCTTGGGAGCTTTGTATGGACTCACTCACCTAATCATTAGAGCACCTGTATGAGGAAGCTAGTATTATTAGTACTGGTTCCCCTGGAGGGCCAGGTCTGTGGTGATGCTCTGGACTCATTTCTGGAAGCCCTTTTATGTGTATTTAATTCCTTGTCTGAAATCACAGTATCCTTAAAATGATGAGAGTAGTGTCTGCTTTCTGCATCTGAGCCATGACCGACATATTTTCCTAAATGGCTAAAGGATGGAGGTTAAATAAGAGGTGCCTCTAGTGCTAGCAGGGGAAACAGGAATGGCTCCGAGAACCAACTCATGTGCCCTGGAGCAGAAGAGAGACCTACTGGGAGGGAGGCTGGGGCTGGTAGGGGCCCCGAGATGTAGGGGAGAGAGCCCAGATCTATAGCACTGGTCAGGGCTGGAACAGGAACCCAGGGCCAGACCAGATCTAGTGCTTTCCCACATGTCCCAGGGAGTGCAGGACATCTCAACTAGAGTCTGCATAGAAACAGTATTGAGCTAAATAGGAAGAACAAATGATTCCTGGAGTCACACGGTTGAGGACCAAATTGGGAGAAGGGATGATCAAAAAGTTGCCCAGCCAAGACTCATCTTCAAAACTACACACAGACTGATTCTAGTCTGGACATTTGTCATTTCTTTCTTTCTTTTTAAAAATAATTTAAAATGTTTTCAATTAAGTTGACATACAACATATTAGCTTCAGGTATACAACATAGTGATTAGACATTTATATAACTTGAGGTAAATCTAGCACCCACCTGACACCATACACAGTTATTACATTATTGATTATATTCCTTATGCTATACTTTATCTCTCCATGACTATTTTGTAACTACCAATGTGTACTTCTTAATCCCTTCCCCTTTTTCACCCATCCCCCTAACCCCCCTCCCATCTGGCAACCATCAAAATGTTCTCTGTATCTATGAGTCTGTTTCTGTTTCATTTTGTTTATTTTATTCTTGAGATTCCTCATATAAGGGAAATCATGTGGTATTTGTCTTTCTCTGTCTGACTTAGTCCACTCAGTACAATACCCTCTAGGTCCATCCATGTTGTTGCAGATGGCAAGATTTCATTTTTTTATGGCTGAGTAATATTTCATTGTGCATATGTACCACCTCTTCTTTATTCATTCATCCACTGATGGAGACACACGTTGCCTCCATATCTTGGCTATTGAAACTAATGCTTCAATAAACATATGGATGCACATGTCCCTTCAAAGTAATGTTTTGGGTTTCTATGGATAAATATCCAAAAGTGGGATTACTGGATCTTTCTTTGTCTTTGGTTATAGCCTTTGTTTTAAAGTCTATTTTGTCTGGTGTAAATATTGTTACTCCAGCCTTTTAAAATTTTGTTTCCACTTTTATGAAATATCTTTTCCCATTCCTTTACTTTCAGTCTGTGTGTGTCTTTTGCTCTGAAATGGGTCTCTTGTAGGCAGTATATGTAAGGGTTTCATTTTATTATCCATTTAGTCACCCTATTTTGTTTGATTGGAGCATTTAATCCATTTACATCTAAAGTAATTATTGATAGATATGTAATTATTGCCATTTTATTATTCATATTATTTATTATTTTTTCTTCTTCTTTTTAAGAAGTCCCTCTAACATTTCTTGTAATACTGGTTTGGTTGTGAGGAACTCCTTTAGTTATATCTTGTCTGGGAAGCTCTTTATCTGTCCTTTGATTCTAAATGATAGCCTTGCTGGGTAGAGTAATCTTGGTTGTAGGTTGCTTTTCATCACTTTGAATATTTTGTGTCAATCCCTTCTGGCCTGCAAAGTTTCTGTTAAGAAATCAGCTGACAGTCTCATGGGAGCTTCCTTGTAGGCAACTAACTGGTTTTCTCTTGCTGCTTTTAAGATTCTCTCTTTGTATTTAACCTTTGGCATTTAATTATGATGTATCTTGGCGTGGGCCTTTTTGGGTTCATCTTGCTTGATACTTTTTGTGCTTCCTGGGTTTGTATGTCTATTTCCTTTGCCAGGTTAGGAAATTTTCCAATCATTATTTCTACAAATAGGTTTTCAATTCCTTGTTCTCTTCTCCTTCTGTTACCCCTATGATGTGAATGTTGGTACACTTGATATTGTCCCAGAGGCCTCTTAAACGATCTCATTTTTTTGCATTCTTTTTTGTTGTTCTGATTGGGTGTTTTCCTCTACTTTATCTTCTAAATCACTGATTTGATCCTCTGCATTATCTAATCTCCTGTTGATCCCCTCTAATGTATTCTTCATTTCAGTTATTGTATTCTTTATTTATGTACTTGGTTGTAGGACTTCTATTCAGCTAGACTTCAGGTGATTCTCACTGATGTTTGTTCTTTAGTTTAGATGTAATTTTGATGTGGTCATGGGAGGATGCAAGCACAGCATTTACCTACTCCACCATCTTGACAGGAAATCCATTTGTCCTTTACTAATTACATACACTTTTACTCCCAACAAATCCTCCAATATATGATAAAGATATATGCATTGCATTCAAGAGGCACCCAACAAATATTTATTAAGCATCCACTATGTACAAGATATCACTCTAGGTACTGAGGATATGGCAGTGAACAAACCAGATCAAAATCCCTGTCATAGGGCTTACATCTGTGATTTTAAAACTCCTTTAAAGTTGAAAAGTATTGAAAAATAAAAAAATTACCTATAATCCCATCAAAAACTCTTTCTCTGTAAATGTAAATATGGAGTAAGAAGTCAGAGTTCAACCTTGTCCATCCATCCCTTCCCATCGCACACAAGGTAACCATTATAAAAATTTCCAAAAAATTTAAAGACTGGTTAAATATACATACCCAGACACTTTTGATTATTTTTTAAAACCAAAATAGAATAAGGTTTTATAGAGTGATCTACAACATGTATTTTTTTCATCTAATAGATCATGAACCTCTGTTTTAGCTTGAATTCCCCAAGGAGCAGAGTCTGAGACAAGAATTCAAATACAGTCTTTGATCAGAACATTTAGATCTTTCCCATTCATTTTAATGATTGCACAGCATTTCACTACATGTCTGTATCATTATTTATTTAATCCCCCCAAGATATATTCATACTGCTCTCTCCCCAGCCCCCATTTTCTGCTCACCAACATTTAGGGCATATGCCACAAGGGGAAAGCTCATTTTCCAAAAGCCGTGGCTATAGGACAAGGTTCTGAGGTCTGAAAAATGAGTGTTGGTAGCAGGGAGATAAAGTGTAGGAAACTTATCGTTGTCCTTATCATGCCCAAGATTTATAGCTAATACATATTTATATGAAATTGGCCAAATCAGTCACCATGGTGAAAAGACCTCATTCATTTAATGGTTTATTTTCTCTTTGCCAACTGTAGCAGCTACTTATTTCTTGACATTCTTTGATCTAAATTTCATCATATATCACCAGTTCTATCATGTCTTGTAGAACTAGTCCATACCACAGTATTTAAGATTGCTAATTTTTTAAATGGCAAAACTGCATATGATTAATTATTTGAGTGATATTGTCTGCATTTTGTGGTAGTGGTGTTTTTAGATCACCGAATAAAGGATGGAATTTATGTTTCTATGTTGAATGCCAGTTTCTAAGGTCTTTCATATCTTGGTGGGTGATTTCAGATGCCATTAGCACCATCAATCAATATTTCTAGAGCCATCGTGAGAACCATAGCATAGTAGGGGGAGATTCTGCATTGGTGACAAAGACTTGGCATCTGGCCCTGGTCACCTGTGTGCCTGTAGCAAGTCGCTTGCCCTTCCTGGATCTTGGGATAATACTCTCTGGCTTACTTGTCATAGGATCAAAGGAAAAAAGGAAAAACTAAATGTAGTATTCTTTAGCTATTAGCTACTATATGGATATTTGGGAGAAAAAAATCTGGGTTTTGATACGCTGTAGTAGATAACCTTAGCTTTTGTCTACACACTCATCTTAAGGAGTCAGCACCCTGAAGTTGAATCCTTCACAAACACAGTCCCTACTAACGAGACATTCAACTCTCCAAAAGCCTTAGCAAATAGAGTGGATTTTACTGAAGATTTCATGGGGAGACGGAGAGGATTTCCTTACAAACCCACAGAAAAACTTAATGATCTTTTTCATTAGAAACATCTGTTCTTCCTTGAAAGCTCATTTTGGCTACCAGGAACCTGAGTTCTGTCCTCTTCCTCATCCAACAAAGACTGCCCAGCCCTGAGGGCTCCAGCCTTTCTTCACTCTTGAAGCTTCCCTTTTGGTCTTCCATGGCTCCACCCCACTGAGTTTATACAGAGCCATTACTCCTTTAATCATGGATTCTCATACCATCCTTCTACTCACTAGTCAAATAATACCCCCCACCTTCCTTAGAAAGCAGCAGGGGAATTTGAAGTAACAAATGTTTTTGCTGTCACAAACTTCTTTTTCATTGCCATAATATTATTAGGTAATTTTATTATTCTAATTGTTCAAAATTTTTATGTACTGCTTAGATCCAGAAACTTGGGAATCATCTAAGGCCGGCCCCTCACCTGGCACATGTAGTAACTGGGGCCCAAAAAAGTGAAGGGACGTGCCTAAGGTTACAGACCAAGTCTGTGACAGAACTGTATACAAGTCTGTGATAGTTACAAAGTGGTGGCTGTGCTCATCTCACTACATCGAGCCTATGGTACAAATGAATCAAGAGGCTTTTAGATTCCGGGAAACCCAGATCTCTGAACCAAAAGGGAACTTGGAGTTCATCTAGAACCAATCCCTCATTTTAAAGAGGTTAAAAGGGAAAATTTTCTTGTAGTCTCTGAATCCTAAAAATATAACACAGATTAGACAGTTACTTTAAAACATATGTACTTGCCTGGCGGGTATGATTTCCAGGAACATATACAGAATTAAACTGCTTCATGAGATTCCTAGCTCCAGCAATATCCCGAAGCGAAGTAAAGAGTTCATCCACGGCAATTTTGGATTTGTGAAATGTCAGGTTAATTGAAGAGTCACAGCCTGAAACAATCCAGAGATATTTTCTTGGGTGAACAAATCTTTAAATTAAGTTTTAATAATAACAGCTTGAGCTTGATGTAACACAGTTGTTGTTTTTTAACCCTATTTCCCCCCCGGTGGTTCACCAAGTGGGCTGTTTCAATCATCCATGAGCAATGAAACATATTGAGTATAAACACCTTTGACAGAAGTAGAACTCAGAATTGCCTGGGATCACAGCCACTGGCTTCAATCCCACTGCAAAGGATTCACAGAAAGAAAATGCCCCAGGATCCACTATCCTCAGAACACAGCTTTGGGAAAATACAAGAAGACACAAAGGAAAATACAAGAGAATTCTGTGATGAACCCTTCTCGCTTGAATCCCATGAACAGTTTCCATAAAATAGAGCAGCAAGAATGAGAAAGATTAGTTGCTCCAGTAACAGAACTTGTTGGGAATGGGCATCTGTCTAATGTGCTGATAATACACATGGCGTATTTCAAAAGGCAGCCATTCAAAGCCGATAAAACACAAAAGGGGTCTAATAAGAAGACTGTTCACAGCAATACTTCCATTTCTTTTAGAAACTTATAACGGATAGATGTAGTCTCTATCTTGTTAGAAGCTCATTCAGAAGAGAAATGATTGTGGGTAACTCAGAAGTTAAAGAAATAGAGAAAGATCTAAGACGAGTATTTTTGAGTCTCTTAAATAGTGCAGACATATGAACTCATTCATCCTGATGAGATAGGAGCTATTATTCTTCCTATTTAAAGGGTGAGGGAACCCAAATGCAGACAGGTTAAGTAACACTCCTGTCCACAGACACTGTCAAAGCTCTGCCTGTATCTGCTCTGTTACTCTGGACGTCACCTGTAGTTCTGGGGAATAGTTCCCATGTCCTCTGACTACTTCCTACCTCAAGTGCCCGGGTGTCTCTCTAACTCTGTTTCTCTGTCTCTATGTCTCTCTGTGTCTCTCTTCCTGAGGGCTTTCTCCACCTGTACGAGCATGTTTGGCATTTCTGTGGAACAGGTTAGAGAGTCAGCACTCATAGGAACAAACCAGCATTCTCTTCCCTTAGAACAATTGTGAATTGTGGTCTCCACAGCTTTTCTGAGGGGCCCCAACAGGACTGAGGCCCAGGTGCCTCCAACAGTAACTGCCTCATTAAGGCCCCCTTTATTGGCTTTCCTTCCTTCCCAATCTCACTTCCCTACTTCCTGAATGTGCTTCCTGGGACATCTTTCCAAATATAGCACTTGTACCCAAATCCTTGTTTTAGGACATCAGAGCTTCCACAGCAATTGAAATACACGTATAGGCAGCCTAGATCCAGAGCATGTATCCTTTTTTGGAGCAGCTTTATTGAGACATAATTCACATACAATTAACCTGCATAAAGTATACAATTCAACAGCTTTTAGTATATTCACATAGTTGTCTAGTTATATATTCATTATCACCACAATCAATTCTAGAACATTTTTATTACTCCAGCAAGAAAATCCACACCCATTAACTGTCATTCACCATTTCCCCTACCCTTAGTTCCTGACTACCACTAATCTGCTTTGTGTCTGTATGGATTTACCTATTCTGATCATTTCATATACATGGAATCACAGAATATGTGATTCCTTTCGTTTCACATAATGTTTTCAGGGTTCATCCAAGCTGTAGCATGTATCAGTGCTTCATTTCTTTTTATTGCTGACTAATATTCATTATAAGGATATGCCACATTTTACACATCTATTCATTAGTTGATGGATATTTGGGTTGTTTCCATATTTTGGCTATTATGAATGCTGCAGTTTTTATGTGTGTGTGTGTGTGTGTGTGTGTGTGTACATACATTTTCATTTCTCTTGGGTATATGTCTAGTAGTAGAATTGCTAAGTCATATGAAAACTCCATGTTTAACCTTTTGAGGAACTGCCGGACTGTTTTCCATTTTCCAAAGTGTCTGCACCATTTTATATTCCCACCAGCAGTGTAAGAGAGTTCTTATTTCTCCACATCCTCAACAATGCTTCTGATTTATCTTCTTGATTGTACTATCTAAGTGGGTATGAAATGAGGAGATACTTGTTGATTTTGATAAAGAGAGAAATTGTTTTTAGGGAGTAGAGGTAGATCCAAACAAGCTCAAACTATGGAGAGTTTGTAAAGTACCTAGGAGCATTTGAAGGAACCCAATTGTAGCAGATGCTGCAAGGTGGATGAGTAGCTAAGCCTCCACTCTTAATTACTGTGGGACACCATACGAGGTGAGATAAAAAAACTACAGTGAATGCTGCTGCCAAGTGCCATCCAATGGAAAGGCAGGGATCTTCAATACAAGAAGTGGTGCGTTGAAACTTAATAACAGGGTGTAACAAGTTTCAACTTGTTCAGTTCAGTCAGTCAGGTGTGAGCTATTGTTGGGAGAAGGTATACTTTAAAGTGTTCATGGATCATGAAATGCATTAACATGAAATGGGCAAACAGTTTCATTCTCCACCATGACAACACTGTGTCACATATCGCTTCTGGTATACAGCAATTTCTGTCAAAATATTACAGTGTGTCTTCATCTACCTTATTCACTAGATCTAGCATTATGCAACTTCTGGCTCTTCACCAAAGTCAAAATGACCATGAAAGGTAAATGTTTTGAATCGATTCAGGACATTGAGGTAGCCACGACAGCACAACTATAAAGACACTCACAAAAGAGGACTAACCAGAACTGCCTCAGAGAGTGGCAAGAATGATGGGATAATGGTGTTTGAAGTGAGGGGGAGTATTTTGAGGGGGATTAATAGCAATGTGTCTTTTACTGTAATACATTAAAAAAAAATTTAAACAGTCACCATACCGTTTGATCACACTTTGTATACAATAACCCTTAGAGGTTGGGCAAAATTCTAAACTGTTTTTACTCACAACACTTTTGATACCAAATGTGTGGGATTCTTTCCCCCTACACCAACCAATTCTCTAACTCCCCAGACACCAACCAGAGTGCCCTACAATTCAATTCAATTCTGACACTAACTATGTAGTTAGTACAGACTCCAAAGTTTCAGGGCTCAGTCCTACAGGACTGCCCCCACTCGATCCAAGTCCCAGGAGCCACCTGCACTTCTGACCAAGCAGCTTTCAATTAAAAGTTCCCATCGGGGTGGCCAGGTGGCTCAGTTGGTTAGAGTGTGAGCTCTGAGCAACAGGGTTGCCAGTTCGATTCCCATATGGGCCAGTGAGCTGCGCCCTCTGTAACTAGATTGAAGACAATGACCGCTGAGCTGCCGATGGGAGGCTGGATGGCTCAGTTGGTTAGAGTACGTGCTCTTAACAACAAGCTTGCCAGTTTGACTCCCACATGGGATGGTGGGCTGTGACTCCTGCAACTAGATTGAAAATGGCAACTGGACTTGGAGCTGAGCTGCGCCCTCCACAACTAAGATTGAAGGACAACAACTTGACTTGAAGCTGATGGGTCCTGGGAAAAACACTGTTCCCCAATAAAGTTTTTAAAAAAAGTTTCCCATGACCCCTTCCTTGGGTCCAATAATTTGCTAGAACAGCTCATAGTATTCAGGAAAGCACTTTTCTTACCATTATGGGTTTAGTGCAAAAGTTACAACTCAGGAACAGCCAAATGGAAGACATGCATAGGGCGAGGCATGGGGGAAAGAGCATGCAGCTTCCATGTTCTCCTGAGCGGCTCCAGCTTCCCAGCAGCTGGATGTTGTCACCAGCCCAGAAGCTCTTAGAACCCTATTGTTTAAAGATTATGATGGCAGGTTAATTACATAGGCATGATTAATTAAATCATTTGGCTATTGATGATTATCTCAATCTCCAGCCCTTCTCCTCTCCCTGGAGGTTGGGCGTAGGGTTGAAAGTTCCAACACTCTAAACATGGCTTGGTTTTTCTGGTGACCAGACAGACCCCCATCCTGAAACTATTTAGGGGCCCCCAATCATCATGCATCCTATTAGCATACATGACACATCAATCTGGAGATTCCAAGCGTTTTAAGAGCGATGTGGTTGAAATAGGACAAAGACCAATAGATATATTTCTTATTGTGCCATAAAAATCCTCTGACCAACCTTTTTCTCCTGGTTTCCAGTAATTTCAACTCACTGCCATTAAAAAAAAAAAATCAAAGTGTGGTCAAGACCAGTGAGAGGAAGCCTCCCATATTCAGTGAACTGAGGTCGGTGGAAGGTGGAGTTCATGTGAACTCTTCAGGATTCTACACCACACTTTGTACAAAGAAAAGAAATAGTCATTTTTCTGAGCAACATGTTCAAAACTTCCTTCTCGTTCTTAAAGAAGTAAGATCTACAGGTACAGAGCATCTACTGATGTCACACTTGCCCTTGGCTTTGTAGCTCCAGCTGAGATATAATTAGCTTTTGCTTTCACCAATGATCAACCAGAAGAAACCTGGGAAGGTTATAGCTCCTCACTCATTCAACCTCTCAGGCTGAGCCATTCAAGATGTGGGACATTATATCAATTATATCTAAGTGTTGTATATTATGTACAGCTCTTTCAGATAAAAAAAGCATGAAGAGAAGAAAATAACATTACTAGTTCTAATACCCTGCATAGTATTTCAATTCCTCTAAAACACAATTCAGCCAATGGACTCAATTTTTTTAATTTAAAGTAATTAATTTTCTAGAGAACAGAAATATTCAGTTTTTTATATGGTCTATTTCAATCTTTTTAGAAAGTGAGGAATATGATGTTCATCCATTAGGATGCGTGGAATAGAATCATTTACTTGATTATGGATTACTGAAAATTATAGGTTATAGATGAAAATTGTGGATTATACAGTAAGTCCCTGACTTACGAACATTCGACTTGTGAACTTGCACAGATACGAATGGACCTCACATTACAAACATTCGTAGATGCGAATGAATCACGGAAGTAGCTCACATGTCTACTGGACATTGTTACAGTAGTGCTGCGGTGTGCTTACTGTACAGTGCGATAGTGTACAGTAAT